AACTGACGGAAAGACGAAATTGAAAATTGAAGTTGAAGGATGTTTTTTGGTACTTTCTGAAGTTTAAGGATGAATTGGTTCAAAAATAAAAGTTGAGGGACCAATTTAGATATTTAACCTAAAAAAATATGTCACGTCAGCATCACTATTTAATTAATTCTTAAATATAAAAAGTTGAAAGTTGACATCCTTAAATAAAAAATGTTGAAAGTTAACATCTTGATTTAGAAACTGACAAAATTAACATTTTTATTTTAAAAAAAATTGAAAGTTGACATCTTTATTTAGAAACCGACAAAATTAATATTCTTAAATAGAAAAAAAAATAAAGTTGAAATTCTTATTTGCACATTTACTCCTAAGTGTTGGGTAAAGTTTGAAAGGTATTTATTTTAAAAATATTATTTATTTTATATAAATTTAAATTTTGTTAAAGAAAATTTTGTAATTATTTTTTAACAAATGTTTAAGTAATGCATAACTTTTCTTTTAAATTTACTTAAAATTTATTTTAAAAATTAATTTAAATATTTTCTTTTAACTAATTTTAAATTTTAAAAAATAATATTTAAAAAATTTTACAAAACACTACCTAATAGAGTAGTGCTATTAGGATTTAAGGGAATTATTTCTCTCCTTATGATTAATTTTTAAGATATGATAATTTGGTCTATGTAAGAAAAAATATTAGAAAATAGCGAAAATCTGATTAATTACATTAATATAACTTATATAAATTTTTACACTGGTTATGTATAACTTTTTTGTACAATTTATATACTATGAAAATAATATTAAATTTATTCTATTCATATAAATCATATATTTCAATTTTAAAGTTGTTTTGATATAAGTAGCCATTTAAAAAAAATAAACTATATTTTTATACTATTTATTTAGGGATTTTAAAGTATATATCATTCAAAAATAACTAAATATATCTAATTTTCTTGATAAACTAAATATCTTTAATTAATTTAAAGTTTTACATGTATAAATAAGTGATACATGTATAAAATAAGCAATCATTATAAAAATTAATTTAAATTATGTTAATGTGAACTAATATATAACTCAACTAATATATAACTCAAAAAAATATTTAACCTTTCCCCTCGCCCCTCTAACTTCAATTTCTAGCTCCGTCCTTGTATAGAACAATTTTTTTTATATCACTTTTTAATAAGATTTTTATATGTTATTAAATAAGTAAATATATTTAATATCATAAAATTTATATAAATAAAATGAACCAATCATGCAAATGACACGTTATGTTGTATAAAAAGATAAGATAAAAAAGTAAGAAATGTTATTGAAACAATTATTTTATCTCATCTTTTTTGTACAATCTAATGTATCATTAAAATAATTAGTTCTTTTAATTTATATAAAACTCGTAATATTGAATATATCTACTTATTTAATGATATATGAAAATTGTATAAAAAAGGTAGTACAAAAAAGTTATTCAAGTAACACCACTCATCAAAAGTTACCTCAAAATCTTTTTTCGGAGTATTTTTGCCACGTGTGCAGATCGATGATGACCTGGCAGTCAAAAGCTGACCACGTCTAAATTTTGCACTAAATCCATTCAATTTTACTGTTCTTACTGTTCTTAATTTTATTTTTTAATTTTTTAAAATATAAATTTCATATAAAAATTTAATATATTATATAAATAATAATTAACATTTTTATTAAATAAAAATACTTAATAAAAATTATATATAATTTTTTTAATTATT